GTCTAGGCATGAAACTGTGAAGGCTTGAAAATCAGGGACCATGGAAGGTGTAATAATCTCACTCTGGTGGAGAGGGAGAATGGATCTTATAAAGGGTGCAGAGCAGGTGAACCAGATGAGCTGAACAGGTGAGTGGAATCAGGGCTGATTGCTGTGAGGCTGAGGGGGTGTGATGAACTGTTAACTGACAGGAGCAGATGTGAGCAATGACAGGAGCTGAGGGATAAACAAAACATGAAGGAGAGGGGCAGAAAACATGGCATGTCATGAAGGGGCAGGGAAGTGAGCAGATGTGGGCCAGCAGGGGCCGCTGATCATGACATTGTCAGTCTGAGGAGCTGCAACAAACTCAGTCTTATAAGCAGCATCTTCTCATAGTGGATCAACCAGATCACAGCTGGAATCCAGAACTAGCTGTTCACATGTAAAAGGAGGACCATCAGCCTAACAATGTCTCTGTTAGTACCTGATGGCTGTTTGTTATTCACAGGGGGCCGAGTGATAATAACAGCATTGTAAGAGGGGGACAGTTGAACCTGGAGGCCTCCACCCCTGTTTAACGATGGACGGTTTCTTTTCACAAAGATGGCCTCCTTTACTCCTCTCTCAAACCATCGTTCCTCTCTGTCCAGGATGTGAACATCTTCATCCCTGAAAGAGTGACCACTGGCCTGGAGATGAGTGTAGACCGCAGAGTCCTGGCCTGATGATGTTGATCTTCTGTGCTGGGCCATCCTTTTGGCCAGTGGCTGTTTTGTTTCCCCGATGTAAGACTGATCACCCTCCTGACACTGAACAACATACACAATATTACTCTGTTTGTGCCGGGGGACTGGATCTTTGGGATGAACCAGTCTTTGCCGTAATGTATTTTGGGGTTTAAAAGCCACTGGGACGTTATGTTTAGAAAATAAACGTCTCAGTTTCTCTGATACTCCCTCAACATATGGAATGACCACTGGTCTGGGTCTGGGTTCCTCCTTTTCACCTGTTGGCTGACTGGAGTCCTGTTTGGGTTTCTTCTCTGCTTTCAGGAAGGCCCAGTTAGGATATCCACATTGCTCTAGAGCCTGTCTTGTGTAGGATTTCTCCTTCTGCCTGGCTCCTGAGTTAGTGGGGATGCTGTCTGCTCTGTGGTACAGAGTCCTGATGACTCCTAACTTGTGCTCCAAAGGGTGATGGGAGTCAAACTGCAATAAGTGGTCTGTGTGGGTGGGTTTGCGGTACACCTCAGTTTGCAAATGTCCTCTATCAGAGACTGAGACCTCACAGTCCAAGAAAGCCAGCCTGCCATTATCACCACATGTTGCTGAAACTCAAACTTGTAAGGTTTTCAGTCTGTTCCCCCAGGTTCCTGAGTTCCAGGGTGGCGCCCATGAACAGCTACAGCTGGAGGTCGTCCCACTGATTGGTCCAGGGGAATAACTGTTTTGTGTGTTTCCTTGACTGATGAAGCCTTCTGGATGGAAGGTGAAATGTTTCAGCACCAAAAAAAAAAAAAAAAAAAGAAACTGTCCACACAGTGGTGAGATGTAACTAAGTACAAGTACTTTGTTACTGTACTTAAGTACACTTTTCATGTATCTGTACTTTACTTAAGTAGAGTTAAACATGGGTACTTTTTACTTTTTCTCCACTACATTTTACATTAAGTATCTGTACTTTCTACTACACTACATTTCTATAATGCACTGTGTTACAAGTTACATTCACGTTGCAACTTTTTTATTTGTTTGTTAATTTGAAAGTAACCAATGGCGAGAGGGGAGTTGGTCCATTGAATCACTGCAAAGTGGGCAGGTAACGTTAGGCCCGCCTTCAAGAAGAGCTATATTCTAGTATATATATGTCACTGAGCTGGGCGCACCCACAGCACCGCTAACACACCCAAAATGGATTCCACCGAGGAAAGTCAGCCAGAAGATACAGTACATGCCACCCATGACCTTATTGAAAGACTACTGAAAGATTATTGTCATGTTTCTGTTTACTCTTTCATTTTTTTGCTTAGTCATGCTCTGCTCCTGTCACTTCTCACCACTCACTCACTCTCTGCCTGCTATCAGGCTCATGCATGACACCTGCTCAGTCTCCTATTTAAGCTCCCTGTTCACAGTCCTCAGTGCCAGATTATTGAAAGCCTCAGTGAGTAAATGTCCAGCGTCCATGCCACAGTTTCGTTTGTCTTCCTAGTCCTGACTTCATGCCTGTTTTATGGATTACCCATCTTGGTCGTCCCCTGCTTGCTTTGGATTATCTACTCTGCTCACGGTAACAACCTCTGCCTTCTCTACAACGACCACGTCTACTGGATCACGATTCAAGTTTGGTTTTGGATTTCTGACCACCTGTGCACGACCCTCACCTTCCTGTCTCTTCAGATTGTGCTGGCCCAAGGACTCAGACCTCCTCCAGAAGCAGTTTGATCAATAAATCTTTTAAACCTTCCTGTTGTCTGTGATCTGGTTCGAATCCCTAAATCTGGTTCTTGTCAATTATTCAGTACAGCAGGACAGATTCTCTCTCTCCCAAACGAGGCAGACTGGACTTAAAAATCTTTGAAAACCAACTTCTTCTGAACTTGAACAAGAAATTCTTGCTGCAATATTAAAATGTGTCAGTTTTTGATGTTGGGAGACGAGAGACGTCTCCAAATGTCTCGACACTCAGGT